ACATATCTTGGTTTAATAAATGATAAAGAATGATAATATAGATATAAAATCGATATTTTTTGAAAATAGCCTACTATGATCGAAACCAAAAATGCTTTAAATTGCATTTTAAAACATATCTTGGTTTAATAAATGATAAAGAATGATAATATAGATATAAAATCGATATTTTTTGAAAATAGCCTACTATGATCGAAACCAAAAATGCTTTAAATTGCATTTTAAAACATATCTAGGTATTATAAATGATAAAGAATGGTAATATAGATATAAAATCGATATTTTTTGAATATTTTTTTGAAAATAGCTTACTATGATCGAAACCAAAAATGCTTTAAATTGCATTTCAAAACATAACGAAAAACAGTTTTTTTTTAATATTAACCTTTAGTATCTTTAGTAGTTTAAGAGAAAAATGGCAAAAATATGCTGTTGCTGAAGCTGAATTCATATTCGATGAGCTCCATCTATATTTGAAACATAGCAATCAAAAAATTTACCCCAGTGTATCTTAAATTCCTTTCGTGAACATTCGTAAAATCAGTGACAAAACAGTAAAATTGCAGGAATTACGCGACGGACGGACAGACAATAATGTCTGTTTCCTGTAGGAATATGCAGATTTATCCATTTATTTTTAAATCACCTTGATATAGAATAAAATTGTTTTTTATTCTAATATTAATATATAAAAATTACCTTTAAAATGCCTCCAGATATTTTCAAACGTAGTATTGCTTTACAATTTTCTATATTCTAAAAATGCACTTTACAAGTACTTATTTTATTACAGACATGTCACACTCAAATATAAAAAAAAGAAAAAAAATTATAGTGTTTGAAAAAAATCTTTTTATACTAACATGGAAATTTCAATTAAAAACTTTATTTAATTTATTTTTTTTTTCTTCATTATTATTATCTTATGTTTTGGTATGTTATAATTTTTTTTTTTGCTTTACGATGAAATGATTATCCGAAGCAGTATGAAGGTGATTTTTTATATAAATTTTTTTTACAAAAAATCAATTTTTTAAGTTGTTCTAGTTCGTAAAGTTCGTATATTTTTTTCTTTAAATTTGACGATTAGATTTAAATCTTCACTTTTTTGGATACAAAATTATTCCGTAAAACACCAAAACATAATCAATAGCACTAAAAAGTAAAAAAAAAAACTTCTTGTACTATATTTTTGCTGTTCTACTATTATTAGTAACTCGTTGTGTGTGTAGAGATGGTTGCGAGTTGACTGAATAAAAAAAACTAAAAGCTCGTACTGATTTTCATTCTCAATTTTAGGGCTTTCGTTGAAAGAGAAAGTCAAACAACAAAATAAACTTTTTTTTCTTAGAATAATTTTTTCCATCGAAATATTTAACCACGAAAAGAGAGAAATCGAAAGAGTACACATTAGACTAGATTTGTAACCAAGAGAGCTTTTCATATTATTTACTTCGTAAAATTACATGGCAATACTCTAAAAATTTATAACATGGAAAATAATGAAACCTGTTGGAAATGCCATGTGCCGCACAAAAATATCGTGAGAGACTTTTTTTTTCTCTCAACTCAATACTCTTCTTCTTTACATAAATATGTTTTTTTTTAGAAATTATTCTTTTATTGAGAATTATTAAATTATTAAATTGAACAGATGTTTTACTGTTATGTAGGTAAAAAATATATTTATTGGTCAATATCAAATTGGTGCATGTAAATTCATACATAAAAATATATGCTTCTTACATGACATTTTTAATGGCAATATCTCCTTAATAGTTTATTGAGGCTTTACAAAATTCGCAAAAAAGTACAAATCCAGTTTATTTTCAGTTTTAATGAAAATTTTTCATCTAGGATGTCCCAACACTTCAAAATCTACATTTATGTCAAATATAATTATTGGCGCAGTTTTGAACAAGTAGGAGAGTAAATAATATTAATTTTTTTGAGCAGATAATTTTGGTTTTGTTTTTTTTTTAATAAAACTTTTCATTGTTTAAGTATGTACAAAGTTTCTATACATTTTGTTGCTTTTGGTTTTTTAAGGTTTCAGGCATTCAATTTACCTATTGTCTCTTAATTTTTGATTTCATTTACGGATTTAAGATGAATACTTCACACTTATTTGAACCACATTTTCTCGTAAATCTTACAATATTATTAAAAAGTAACTCATCCTGAATTATGTCGCTATTTTGTCAAGTGTTTTAAGATAAAGAATTGTTTTTTTCGTTTCCACAGTGAAGAGTATGAACAAAATTCAGGTGGGGTGTCGAAATTTTAGCTTTCGATTTTTTTAAGCTAAATCTCTTGTTTATCTAATCATAAGAGTATAAAGCATGATTTTCATTCATATTTGATACAAAAATTTTATATGGCGGGATTTTAAAATCCCAAAAAAACGTTAATGCAAGAATTTAAATCAAAATCCCAAAAAAACCCAAACAAAAATGATTTAAATCAAAATCTCAAAAAAAAATCCCTTTGAAAAAATGATTTAAATCAAAATCGAGAAAACAATCACTGGATAAAATGATTTAAATCAAAATCCCTTTTTAAAATCATTTTTCATTGAGATTTAAATCAAAATCAAAAATAAACTCTGAGATTTTGATTGAAATCGCAAAAAATCTCCCTTCCCTAACTAGACAGGTAAAAGTAAAACTTTCGATATGTACAGGTATAGGTTTGAATAAACTGGAACTGCCATAGGTCGAAAACTACATGTTGGACTAAGATAATTCCGTCAGATTAGAAACACTGACAAAAAATAGATATTTTTAGATATACAACATGCCACTAGTCAATTTTTGGACATTTGGTGATGTTCAGGTACGAGATGGAACTGCCATAGGTCCAAAATGAATTGGACTTAAATAATTCCATCAGATTTAAACCGTTGAGGAAAAGGAGACGTGTTTTGATATATAACATGATAGGTTTTTGGGTAAAAAAAGTATTGGTCCACAAGTGGTACTGTCCAAAACTATGAAAGTCCATTACTCTTGCTGGTTATATCCGATTCCAAAAATTTTTAAAGGACGAAATTGGACGTAATTAGGAGATCAGTTTTGATATATAATATGTATAATTAAAATTAATTTCGTAATTGCTTCCCGCTGAAAAAGTGAAGTTGGCGGGAAAGATACCCAAATATTGAAAGTGGTATATCCAGTGATAGGAAGTATGACGAAAATATTTAATTACGGGACGTTAATAGACGTAATATGGACGTAATTCTGACAAAGTTTCAACTTGATCTGAGAACCTGTTCCCGCCAGCTTCACACACACAATTTCATGACTTAATATTTTGAGTAATCAATAATCAAGTAAGATTAAAGGCATTAAAAGTCCTAAACTAGAGAATATCAACAAAAAATTTCATTACTTCAATGTGTCTGAAAAATATTATGCACAAGGGTTATTTGAACATGTTTTTCAAATCTGAACCATTGTGGTTACTATGATTTTTAAAAAATTAATCTTTTATTATTACCACGTTTTTCTTAACTTGCTTTCTTGTTTTTTATTATTATTATTATTATTACCACGTTTTTCTTAACTTGCTTTCTTGTTTGTTTGTTTGTTTGCAAAAATTTTCAAATCTCAATTTTTCGACCACTTCTACTGCTCCAATCGAGCTGAAATTTTGAATGCACTTATCTTTCCGATGACAATATGATATTCAAGCATTTCGGAAACTTAAAACTGCTTAATTATAGTACAATTAAATTAAATTTTCTACTCTTTAAGGCTTAGCTTATTTTTACATTACATATGAACAACTATGAATAATTTAAAAATTTAAAAAGCCGTTATAAGTTTGAATCACAAAAATTACGTTACACGACTTTCCATGGTTTAATTCTAGTTTACAAGCTTATGCTGTGTGATAGCACAGCTGATCGATGAAGACTTTCTATGGTTAAATTCTAGTTTACAAACTAATGCTGTGCGATGGATACTTTGAATGATTTTTTAAAATTAAAAAGTAGAAAATAAATACTTTATAAAAAAAACCACGTTTTTACCCGTGGACTAAAAACTAGAAAATAACTTTTTTAATTGGGTTCAAAGGATATTGGTTTGAAAATTTGAGATTTTTTACGGAAAATTTTAAATCCTTTTTAATATGAAAAGTTAAAAGATAATCTTAATAAAAATTAACAAAAGCTTTCATTGTAAAGTTAAAAAGTTCCGACAAGAAACGAAAACGAAATATTGATTTATTTGGAAAAACTTTAACTTTCTGGCTTAGTTTTCAACTTAAAAACTTTTTTAATGATAAATGCACATAATTTGTAATTTAAAGCTTTCATTTTGAACGTGTTTAACGCAATTTTATACTAGTTACTGAACTGAATCTAGACGCGGGTTTGAACCCGGGATCCCATGATTAACAATTTCCAATTCTATAATCCCGCGATTGAAAATTCCTATAACTGATCTTTGTGAGGAAAATGCGCTTAATTCTTTTAATGTATGACACGAGGTTTTTCTATATTTTTATCGCATTTTCTTTTCAAGAAATGACACTTTTGTCCGCACTTTGTTCGTCTGTCTGTACAGCTTTCTCCTCCTCCAGTTTAAGCTTTTTTGATGCGGTTTTTGGCTTAAAATCTTTGTATTGTGTCTGGCAAGAGCTGGCCAAAAAATCAGAATGAATGGAGCACAGGAAGGTTAATTAAATTAAGTTTTTCTAAAATTTCGCTTTACGTTTTACGCACGCATATTTTACGCAGCCATTAAAAGGGTGACTTTTTTTACAATCCTCAGGTCGCTGGTTCAAGCCTCACATCGATCACATGTGATCACCTCTTTACTAAATGTAATTGTATTGGTAATTATTGAAAGTTTAACTGTTGTTTATATATATATATATATATATATATATATGTAACTTAGTACTCGTTCACCTATTACGTTACGCAAATAAAACTAACCCCCTCCTTGTGTATGGAACAAATTTATTTTTGTTTAAGCTGGCATACTTACTTCAGGTGCTTTAGCATAAAACAACTTATGGCCTTTTAGTTTGAAATATCGTCGTTTCCATCTTTGAAATGTCCATGTTTGTTTCAATAGGTAACCTTCTTTTGTTGTCGTCTGCAAAAAATACACAAAATTTATATTAAATTTTTCTTACCCTTTAAAAACAAATGGTTATGGACCCGCAACAGGCCCGGTTTTGTGGAAAACAAAAATCAGAATCATTTTAGAGATATTATAGAAACCTACTATAAAATGTTCTTAATAGTTTTTTTGAATAAAAAGTTAAAAGGTTAAAAAAAGTTCTTTAAATTCAAAAATGTTTATTTCCAACCTTTAGAGCCCTACATTTCCTCTTAATTTCATGATGCATATAGCAACAATCAGTATCTATTTACAAACAGTAACTCAAAAGAAACGAAACAAATTCTCAAAAAAATTTTATGTTAGAACCCTACATTTTCTTTTTATGGGCAATTCTTTGGATGAGTGAAATTTGAAAAAAATGAGCTTTCATAATCCAATGTCAATGAGTTTTGTGTCAATAAAATGTTTTCTTTAATTTCATATTACTGTGAAGGAATAATAAGCCAGAACTTTCGTAGATCATTAAGCATAATTAATTCTTTACAAGTGATCTATTGAAATGTTACAACTCACCCAAATTAAGTGAAAAATTGAAAAAATATGTTTGAAAATTTTGTATTTTTTCACGGATTAAGACAAAAAAAAAAGCTTCTTTATAACTCGATGACACAAGGAAATTTTTCAAACATCGAGTTATTGACAAAAGAATCTAAATAACTTAATTAATACGTCATTGATCGGACATTTGAGCGATTAGAAGTATATGATATCAAAGGGAGTGTACATTTTATATTTTTACATCGATAAGAATCATAAAATCAGTGCCTCTGATGGGAAAAATCAATAAAATTTCGATTTTTTGCTGAAAATTTTCCGAAAGTCATCCAAAGAATTGCCCTTATGCTCAATACCCACATTTTTATAATTTTGATTTGAAGAAGTGGAAAAACTTAAAAAAATTTCCTAACAACAATAAATTATAGTTGGAATCAAGAATTTGGTGAATAAAAATTCTCATTAATATTCTAGATTTAAATAAAATTGAATTCCAATTCTATTTCGATTCTAGATTCATAATTTAAATTAATTATTGCATTCTCAGGTTAAAAATATGAGCATATGGTCCTATATGGACTTAAAGAAACTTGCGGAACTGCTTAGTTCCGCAGAACTTAGCCCCTTCTTAAAATGTATTAAAACGTCAAAAAAACGAAAATTTTTGTCTTTGGAAGACTCACCCAGTTATTTCGTTATAACTAGGGTGACCATCTGCGTAGTTTTACAACGGACAGTCCTGTATTTCAAAACGCTGTCCTGTATAAATTTGAAAATTTTGTTCCAGGTCCTGTATTTTTTTCACGAAAATTTCCGTTAATTTTCAAATTTTCCTTTGTGTCCTATATTTTTTAAGGAAATTTATCAAATGTCCTGTATTTTCATAAAAATTAGATGGTCACCCTAGTTATAAGCTAGTAGTTAATAGATTAAAAAAGTGATTTTTTGGCTCACTAGTAGCTTAGTAACGAGTAGTAGTTTAGTAATAAAAAAATTAAACTATCCCTAATAGGCAAAGAGCATGCTCACAAATTTGAGCACATGCAAGAGCATACTCAATTATAGAAATTTATGTGCTCAAATGAACATACTCTCATGAGTACATAATGAGTACAAAAACGTAGTATACTCAGTTGAGTACATTCATTGAGTACGCTCTCTTACATACTCTAAGTACATCAACATGATACAAAAAATTTCCTTTATGTGCTCTTTTGAGTATACTTATTGAGTATGTCCTCTCTCACATTGTGAGTATGACAAATGTGAGTGTAATTTCAAAGACAGTATACTCTCGTCAGTATACTCTTCAAGTGTACTCAAGAGCATATATATAATGTGTGAAGGGCCCAGCCTTTCAGCTGGAGGCACTGCGATTCAAATTAGAACAGAATCTATTGTACCACACCCTTTAGACCTACAGTTTATAGTGGGATCCGAACCACTTGCAAGCTCTATACATTGCAAAGACACGAGTACGTCATAAGACCTGATGTACCCTGCAATGTACCTAGTCACAATCCGTGTGCGCAAGATGCCGTAAGGAAGTCATCCAGATGCTAGTATATCCTTGTATACCTAGCAAAGGAGGCATATTCTATGCCAAAGACATCAATACTACACCCAACACACGAACCGAGCTTCGTAACTAGAACGGTGAAATGGAAAAAGAGCTTCGAAAATTAGACATGGCCTGGGATTGAACCTACTCAAGAGCATATTCAGAGCATATCTTTCTGATAATTCACATTTAAATACATTATGCTCATCTGAGTACACTTTCTGAGTGCACTCTCAAATGTTCTCTGAGCACGTCATTGTAATAAGTTTATGTAAGAAACATTATGCTCATCTGAGTACACTTTCTGAGTGCACTCTCAAATGTACTCTGAGCACGTCTTTGTAATAAGTTTATGTAAGAAACATTATGCTCATCTGAGTACGCTTTCTGAGTGCACTCTCAAATATAGTCTGAGCACGTCTTTGTAATAAGTTTATGTAATAAAATTATGCTCATCTGAGTACACTTTCTGAGTGCACTCTCAAATGTACTCTGATCACGTCTTTGTAATAAGTTTATGTAAGAAACATTATGCTCCTCTGAGTACACTTTCTGAGTGCACTCTCAAATATAATCTAAGCACGTCTTTTTTACATGTCACATCCAATTGGATTATACTTAAATTCTCACTCTTAACAAATATTTACTTACAAGAATCTCTAGGTTTAATTTAAAAAAAAAAGTTTATAAATATCAGTTTGAAATCGTTTGTATGCTTCAGCACTGTATTTTTGTATTGGAAAAAAAAATGTCGAAAAATGAAATTTTTGCAATACTTCCTTCCGATGCAGTTTATGACCAAAATTTTGATTGAAACTGATGAGAATCATAATTTAAGACCTTTTGACATCTAAAAAATTTTACTTGGATGCTTCAGTTCCTTTAAATTTTACTTTTTCAATTTCGTTTGTGGAGTACTTGGAAATTTCATCACAGTAAACATTTTTGGGTTTTCACGTGTGAATTTATTGGTTTTGTTCAGATTAAAAAATCAGTTTTTTGAATTTTGTGAGGATATGGAACAAGGTAGCTTAAAATGGTCACAGATGAAAAGTTTTATGCCTGGAATTTCACATCTTTTGCAAAACACAGATTTCAAATTGATTGCGACATTGCTGAGAAAATCGCAAAATACGCTTTCTGTAAGCAAACAAGCCAGCAAGTTAATCAGCAAGAAACGAGACATCGTAGAGACTTCTAGTTTTTTACATTTGATTCGTGCTGCTCTATAGAAGAGCTGCATTGTTTATAGGCAAGGTAAAAACAGCCGTTGCTTCAGAAAAAGCAAAAAACTTTCCTTTCTTACGAATTTTTCAAAACAAAAGTTCACTGTGATTTTTATAAAATTAAACTTTTGATGAAAAAAAAAAAAATTTTAAAAATCTTTCAAAGAATGTTCGTTAAGCTTTAAACCTTCAAACATATGCTGAGCGAAGCTCAGCTGACGCGCTAGCTTTATGCCTTTAAACTTATGGATAACTTGGGTTTCTACCCGATACACTAGTTCTTAGCAATTTTTGCTTTATTTTTGCTCCTTAGAATCCAAAATGCCATCGGTTTCACATTAAGAAACAATCAATTAACCTCTATGCCAAATCACAACTTATAATCTCAAAAAAGTTCAAAGTTATAGCTAAAATAAATTATACATAGGTTTCCAACCCTTAGAATCCAAAATGGCATCGGTTATATATTCAGGTTATATACCACTTAACCTACATGCCAAATTTCAGATTAAAAGTTTAAAAGATACAAAAGTTATGGCAAAAAAATAATTTGGTATGAAAAATGTGTGGAAAAAAGTGAATAACTCCGTGAAAAGCTCGGAAAACGCGTGGAAAAATATGAAAATGGAAAAATTTATCATAAAACATCATGATCTATCAAAAAAGTGTAAAAAGAATGAAAAAAAAGTTACACACGGAGAGGCCTGAACCTTTTTTAGGGGCTACGTAAAAATACGTATGTAAAACGTAAGGTAAAATTTCAGAAAAAGTTAATTTAATTAACCTTCCTTTCAGACGGACGGACAAAACGCAAGCAATAGCGTCATTTAAATTTTAAAATTTAACATCAAAGTTAAATGTGTTATTTGCCAAAAATTTTACTTAAGATAACACAACTCGGTGGAGTAGAGGTAGCAACGCAGAATTTATCTAAGAACACAGCGGTCAGAAGTTCGAATCCCGGTAAGATTTATAAAATTTTCATTAATCATTTCTTCTTTCTTTCTTTCATAGCTTTGAAAATTAAACAGCATAATAAAAAAAAGTACACATTAATTATGTAAAATAATAGTATAAAAAAGTTTCAAAAAATAATAATTTTTATTTATTACGTCCTTTAAAGTACACTCAAAGTATACTCTTTTGAGGACATCAATAGTCAGATTAAGATGTACTTTTATGAATATATTAAAAGTATGTCAAACTAAGTATGCTCATTTGAGCATATGTTTTATGTGCTTAATTGAGCATAAAGTGTGTCACATGTGACATGACACATAAAAAAATGTTTTATTTCAAGAGTGTGCTCAAAGTATAACTGAGTGAGTATGCTCTGGTGAGTACACTTTTAGGCGTAAAGTATTGGCACAAACTTTTGTATGAAAGAGCATACTTTTTAGAGTACACTCAGGAAAAATTAGAGTGTGCTCTTTCTGTGCTCTTTGCCAATTAGGGATATAATGAAAATTTTCAATTTTTTTACTTAATTAAAAAAAATTTGCTATGTTCTCGATTTCATTTCATTGACAATGTCATAAGGCATTGAAACTGATGCGTAGAAAGTGAAAAAAAAAAAATTTAAACAACTTTATTTTTGGTAGTAGCGTAGGAAAATTTCGAAAAATTTTAAGTTCAAAAAAATTTTACTAAGCTAGGAACTTAGACAAAAAAATTACAAAAGTCCTCGTGTTATTGATCGAGGGACTTCAGCGCATTTTTGACGCAGC